CGGTCTAGTAAACATTCCTGGGTCAATGATTGGAATGCTATCATAATAAGAAACAGGTGTCTGATTCGCTAACTAGCGAAAAGGTATATGTAATCAGTCCAGACCTGGATATTGAAAAAACACTTTGCAAGACCGCGAATCGAGAAAAGTACCAAAATATCATTTTCTCACTTCGACATTCATCGTAAATACGTATAAAGCACCGACATCGATAAATGCATCTGCGTAGTATGACGGCCGCTTCACGACCATTGAGTGGTATCTTCCAACACAAAAGATACAGTACCAAAAAACGGGTGGGGGTTAGTACGGTAGTACTACGCCATCCCATAAGATCGGGTAGCACTCCGGTTGTCGAGCGAGTAAAGCCGCCTTGCAGCAAATGCTCTATCAATGCCGTATCAATACTGTATTATATAATCTATATATTCCCTGGATTCCGCAGTGTGGGTGGTATATTTATACTGCCCTAGTACTTCCGCATTTCCTAAAATACGGCATTCTTGTGGTATTTAGGACAATGCCATTCCCCTAACCCTGGAATATCATATTTGGTGATGAAGCATTTCAGAATCAAAGATCACCAGATATTGTTTCATCCACCGATCCATCAATTCTTATCATCCTAGGATGGGGTTTAAACAATTGGGATATACTTTTGAAAAATAAATTTTGGGCTCTTAGGCATACATATACACATCATTTTAATTAGAAGTTGCGTCTACTATTCGATTATGATACGCTCATGTTGGTGATGATGATGATGATGATAATGATGAAGTCGTATAGGTGTGGTCTAGTCTTGTAACATAGTGTCGACGAGCCTACATGTAGGTGTGGTCCTGGTCATGGACCTGGCGTACTGGCACGCTAGACCTGGTGCTGGCACACTGGACATGGTGCTGGCGCGCTGGACCTGGTACTGGTCACAATGCTAAAATGTGTCTATATTGCTGTGGTAGTGCTACGGTATTGCTATGGTATTGCTACGGCATTCTATGAAAAATATACTCCTTGAAATGCCGAAATGATGCAGCAGTCCCGAAAATACCGCATTGTAGCAAGACTACCGTAGCACTACCATACTAATCCCTGCACCATTTTTGGTATTGTATATAGTAGCAGGATTCTCTTCGCACATCGCCTGTGTAGTCAATTTACAGTTTTGGTTATGATAGGCCATATTTCACTGCCATTTGAGAAAAACGTTCTTTTCAATCCATTTCCTGAGCAATATGGGATCCTGGCATATAATACCCTAACCCTGACCCAGAAAGAAACCTAACCCTAGCTAATCCCCAACCTGTGAAAAATGGACCCCGCCTTTCTAATATTTGGCCGGACAAAGACCAGTCTCTTCAAGGACCCTAGCTTTTGGACCTGGTATGGACCTCAATATTCAGATATCGATTCTGCTACTCTATGGCAGGTTCTGAGAGGCATTGCTGGTAAAAAGTACAATTTCGCACGGAATTTGGGGAGCTGAAAAACACTTGATGATGACCGTAAAGCACACCACGTAGCAAGCTGCGGCACCTCACTCCCACTTATCTCGAGCCATATCACCCAAGGCACAGCGTTAGATTAGAGTTAGAATGCACTTGTAACCTGTGCCGACAATGGTTAATCCACATTCCGATTCAGCCCAAAACAGCGGATCGACCCGCGCACACTTCGTTGCCTTAGGCGTCTAACGAATCCCACCACAGAGAGTTATGCTAGCCGAGTAATTCTTACATTTTCCACCGGCTGGGCCTACGGACATAAGGCCTAGCCAGACTTATGGGCTGCCAAGCCACCTTGCCTTGTCCCAGCTGGCCCCAACACCATGGGCACGGACACGGACATGGACAGTGCGCGGCAATGACAGGTTGCTGTGGTTCGACCCTCGGCGTGATTTTTGGGTCTACGTGTAGTAGTCTGGGTACTGGTAGAGTAGTTCAATGTATCTCTTGCGTGGGCTCGGGAATCTTCACACTCCACGCACATGCACGGCACACCGGCACATATTCATAGGAATATTATTGGCAAGGCTTTTCACCTTTGTTTGGAGGGCCAATATTGTCAGAAGATGCTTGATCATGAGGGATAATGAGGGCTGAAAACACGCATACGTACATATATAACATGTTTGAACAGCTCACAGACTACAGAGCTAGGCCCACGCAGGAGGGTCAGTAGGGCAACAGTTTCCGCAGCATGCAGACAGGCAGCAATTCAGCGAGAGATAAAGGTCGAATTACTGCTTTGTGAGTAGGGTCAGTAGGTGTATGTTGGGTCAATCGACTTGTTTCACCAACCACAATCCACATGTAAAGTTGCCTAAAAATTTCAAACTCCACTGGCATGACGCATGATGATAGCACAGCCAAATCTTTATTCGAACAACCATGCATTCGATAAACTGCAAATTTTTCTAAAGTTCAGAGAACATTTATGAGGGCTCAGAACTGATCGATTCATTTTCGGCTGTTTATCCCATCAATTGGAGGCTGTATAATGTATGGGGCGGCGGTGACCTTGTGAGGCTTTCTTGCGTTGCCACAAGGGGAGAGTAGGGCGTGGCGCCGAGACATACATATATATATATATCTGATACGGCTTTTAAGCCATAGCGAACCTTAAACCATTTCCCCCAACATACATGTGGAATGGCAACAGTTAACTCCAGGCTACAATTCAAGGACAAACAACGTGGCTGATTCGGGCTTAGTGTTGACTGGACGTTTGGCAAATTGCAAATGGATTTGTCTATTGAAAGTTTTCAGGCTGTTGGCGTTCGTGATCTCACAGTGATATCGTAGGTTATGCTCAGATACGAATGTGGAGGAGTGATGGTGTTTGATTGCTACATGAATCCTTTTATATATACAGTTTAGAAAACAAGACAGATCTGCCCGACCTGGTTTAGCCGAATCGGTCACAACCTTGGGTTGCCATGGCGACTTAATCTTGAGCCTCATTCCCCTCGCCTTGGCAACTTGGATAATATGGTGCGCCCAGTCTTAAAGGTAACACGGGGTGCCTGCCTCACTGCCACGGCTCAGGTAGATATGCCTTTTGCGGGGGTATAAACGGAGATAATACTGTTCCACTTTGTTCACTCTTGGCCTCTTATCCCTTAAGAAAACTTGGTGTGGCTTTACTAACAGATCATCCCGTTCTCTCTCTTATCAAATAATAGATCTCTCATACAAATCTAATTCCTCTGTTATAGGGGGGGGGGTCAGCATCGACAGCTTATAAGCGATTGAAATTACTTTCGACCCGGGGCACCATAACTCTTTTCTTGAGCCTCATAACTCTTGGCAGTTATAATCTCGGAATTCACATACAAATGTGGTTTCATTTTCTACAGTATCAAACTCTTGTGCGGACTCTCTTGCCACGGATTGCGGACAATTTTAGAGCGACGAAGAATTATTATATTTAATTCCAGTCTACCTTCAATTAGCCCCACCTCACATCTGCTCGTCAGACTTAGACTTAGACCATTGTTCGAACTGACATACTAGCACTACTATATTACCCTAATACTGTTGGGGATTGTTATATGTCAAGTACAACATGGGGACGTAAACCACCGTCGCAAGGTATCAGGAAAGCCCAATCTTAAGATCTCGCTATCAAGAAACACAGTACTACGCTCGGCAGCTCTGCCATCATGCAGGGGAAAATCGTCACAGCACCGACTGAATATGGTAGAGCACTTTGTCCACAAGCATGCCAAGACCACGAATTTTTGTGTTCTCTCTTAGAACATACCCCCCTTCGAGAATGTCTTCACAATTTATATGGCGGGGGACACCTTGAACCGGAGTGCCGCGACATTGGTTTCTGACGATCAATATCCCAGTCGGGTAATTATTTAATCATTTTATTGCAAGTAATCTGCCAAGATTATCCACTTGGCGCTCACAGCGGAGGAATCCATACCCAATTTGGACTAATGCCCTCCCAATCGGGTAATTGATTTAGTCCGAATAGGCAATTATGGGTGCGACCTTGGTTGAGTTTCCCACCAAAAACCCAACTTTTAGAAGATTCATAGCACCACCACAACAAAAGATAAAATTAATCTGGCTCTGTCACGTTGTAGAAAAGCGGCAGAACTATCGAATAACAGAGAGAAAAATAAATTAGGGTGTGGTTGGGGGAAAGTCATTAGCGGTTGAAGTTGACTCCCGAAACCACTCCGGCTCAAGGTGTCCCCCGGCCATAGCTTTTACCCAAAGATTCCATTTTCGTAGGGAAGTTGCTAACTTTTACTAGGCCAATCCGCTTACTTGTCCAGATTTTTGATTGGGTCCGACCTTTTTGAAAATAGGCAACACACGAAACAACAGCCCTTCAGAAACCTCGTCACGAAGCCGTTTCCCATTAGTTCCGATCAGGAGCAAAAGGATAGTTCGTCGCAAGACAAAAACCCAGTAAGTACAGTCAAAGTGCCAAGCTGTTCAGGATTAGTAGGTATATACATGTAGCTTGCCTAGGCAATCACAAACCCTAACCCACATCCCGTGTGGTTCACCCAGTTTACAAACAAACATGATGCAAATACTTGAGCACCACAAGTGCAGAACCCAAGGGAGTGGTTGAGCCTCAAAGTTCTCGGAAACACGGCCTATAAGTAATCATATCCCGTTTTCTGCTGCGAGCCTACCGTGGTTCTGGGATTTTACGTTTGACGCGCTAAGCACCAACGCAGCGCGTAATAATCTGGAATATCAACTCCCAACGCCACGTCTTCTTGAGATAAAACCGGACTCATGAGTAAACTGTACGGCAAGCTCAACACCTTACTGCCCAGCAGCGACCCAAACACAGACCCTTTATTTCGTCATCTAGGCCCGACCCTCCGGCGTACATCCGCCATCAAGTCACGACATATCGCAACAGCACAAACCTACCACCGTTCAGAGTCCCATTGTCACCCCCGCCCCACACCAATCAAGGGCTTCACAAATATACGCACATTACAATTTTCCCATCACAGCCCATCACTCGCTCTGCGCCACCGCGCCATACCCACCGCCACTCCCACCATCAGCACCATCAGCCGCCAACGGCGCATTCTCTGCACAAAGACCCACTCGTTAATAAAAAGCCCCATCATTTTAAACTTGCAAACAACACACAAAGAGCACAAAAAAACACAGAAGCACGCTACAAAGACTTTTTCAACGGCACTGGTGTCATACTCTTCCTCGATACGCGCGGAAACATGACGCAGTACCCGTCCTCCGAGTACTCCCACTCGTCCTGGAGCGCGTTGATCTGCACGTGGAGATACTCCACGAATACCAGGAAGCAGTACACGCCCGTTCCCGTCAGTAGGTGCCACCTGCGCCACACACACCATGTTAGCTACTCTCCTCAATCCCACAGCAGAAGGGCAACCCACCACCCGTGCAGCTCCAACACAAACCCCACCGGCATGCCCGTCCACTCCCTCATGCCCCTCAACCACCCACACGCGCCATCATCGACCAGCCACAGCGCAAACCCCGCCACAAACGTGGTGGCCCCCACCGTCGCCAGCTTCTTCATGTGTCGTAGCGCGACCTCGTCCTCGACCTGCGTGCGCATGAGGAACACGGTGCGGAAGAAGACGCACGCAATCTGGCAGCCAAAGACGACGCGCTGCGGCGTGCTGTCGCCGAGCAGGTAGTGCGCGAACGTCAGCAGCGTGAGCGTCAGCACGAGGGCGCCGGCGAGGATGCGGCGCGAGGTGGGCGCGAGCTGGAACGACCAGATGGTGTAGAGGACCATGGAGGTTGAGTAGAGCATCGAGAGCTCGTCCACTGCGGAAATGTCAACTTCTGGAAAGACATGGGGGAAAGACATGGGGGAGGGAGAGAGAGAGTGACCCATCTGCATCGTGTACTTGAGCGTGGCATGGAAGAGGACCGAGCCAATGCCGACGCCGGCGTAGATGGCGTACGTCAGCACAAAGAGCGAGTCCTTGTCCTCGCGCAGCGCCTTGACGAGCCCATATGCCGCCAGATACACTACAACACGAGGCCGCACGAACAATCAACCAACCACAAATACGTCATATCACCGGCCGAGAGTGTGTGCGTGTGTGTGCGTGTGTTTGCCTACCGTATAGCACGTTTGTGAGCGTGTTGATGAACTCTGCAACGTAGGGCGTGATGTAGTAGTCCTGGGCGGGGTTGGTTTAGCAGTGGAGCGGTGGTAGTGGGCAGGGTTAGGGTTGTCACCATCTCGCAGAAGCTGTCGGAATGAATGTGTGTAAGCAGGATGCATGCAATATCCGATTACCATTGCAGGAAGTGGAGGGGAGGGGGGGATGGGGGCATTGGACGCACTTGACCGTGGACGTCACTGGGCCCCAAGCAGACTCGTACTGGTGGCCGTACGGCCAGCTCAAGTGGCGCGTCATTGATTGCGGCTGTTGCTAAGCGAGGGGCAGTTGTGGAGGGGGAGTTGTGGAGGGACAGTATCTATGCCGTCGCTGTGTACTTGTGTGTATATTAAGTCAGTGAATGTTTACGGGAGTGTACGAGTGTGTGTGTGTGGGCGTGTGTGTAGGCGTGTGTGAAGAGAAGGGAGAGAGAGAAGGTTGCAGTTGCTGTTATCTATCCTCGCCGGTTGTGCCCCTACATGTCGACACCGTTCCCTGTTTTTCTGATGCGCCCGCCTGTTTGGGCTAGTGCGGGCGTGTGTGTGTGTGTGCCAATCACGGCCAGCTGTGTTCGGACAGTAGTAGCGGAGTCTACCATTGGAGACCATTGGAGACGTGCCCGGGGACATTCGATGGTGGGGACATGTGTTGGTTGCTCTGCTACTGCTACTACTCCTACAAGCACGGATAGATGGGCACACCTGCTATAACTACAACTCCTACAAGCACGGGCAGATCAGCAGCAGCACTGGTTCGATCCGCCAACACCACGACTCACTGCACAGCTAGCACGCACGGCCCTGATAGTTAACGTTCATTAAACATTCGTTGTATCTATTTACAGACAGACAGCACCGATTTAAACTCCAATGCCAGAACAAAGGGAACGAAAACACACGGGATCGAAAACACACACTCTACAAAGGAAAAGCTCGACATGCAGGTAAGCCCACCCCGGAATCCCAGATCCCAGGTTCGTCCCCCGGCCCTCCATATATCGCTACCCCCCCGCCAGCCACCGCCTTACATCTTCGCCCGCAGCACGAACCCCGTCTTCGCAACCCTCGCCGCCCCCAGCAGCACCCCCGCCGCAATCAGCACCACCCCGCAGAACGTCTGCGCCCACACGTAGTCCCCGTCGACCGCCCCGATCAGCGCGCCGCAGATCGGCGGGCCCACCATGCACCCGAAGCTCACCACCGTGAAGCTCATCCCGATGCGCGTCCCCGCCTTTGCCGGGTCGTCCGTCAGCGCGGCCACGGCCGCGGGGAACAGCGCCTGCACGGCCGCCGCAAAGACGCCGTAGACGAGCACGAAGACGAGCATGCCCTTGTACGTCTCGACCGTCATCCACGTCACGATGATGATGCCCGTGCACACCGTGATGGGCGCGTAGATGTTGAGGATGCCAAAGTAGCGGTCGGCGACGTACGTGGGCAGGAGACGCCCGATGACGCCCACGGCGTTCATGATGATGAGCGAGTTGAAGGAGGTCTCGCTGTCGAGCCCGATGGAGAGGGCGTAGGAGCCGGCGTAGTAGAAGGCAAAGTAGATGCCGCAGAACATGAGGAAGCTCGCTGCAGAAGCACGGTCCCATCAGCATCACATCATATCACATCATACAACAAGGCAGAGCAGAGAGAGAGTGTCGACATACCGAGCAGAAAGAGGTTATACGACAGCTCCCTGAACGCGCCCCACTCAATCAGCGGGCCCGTGATCCTCGGCGGGATCCTCGTCCTGTACAGCGCCGAGGACATCAGCAGCGTGGCCAGACACACAAAGCCCATGCACCTCATGGTCCACGGGAAGCCGATGCTGGGAATCAGATGCTGGGCCATGAGCGGGTAGATGACGCCCCCCGTGACGCTCCCCGTCGTCGCGATCCCGACGGCCGCGCCCCTCCACTTCCGGAAGTACGTGCTCATGACCGACAGCCCCGCGCAGAACATCATCCCGTTGGCCAGCCCGCTGCACACGCCCTGGGCGAGGAAGAACTGCCAGTACTCGCTGCACAGCGACGTCATGAACATGCTGAGCACCTGCAGCGCCGCGCCGAGCGTGTACACGAGGCGGAAGTAGCCGGCGTCGGTGGCACGCCCGCCAAAGACACCGACGAAGAAGAGCAGGAAGACCTGCATGGATCCGATCCAGCTGATGGTGGAGCGCTGCTCGTCGAGGATGGTGCCGTAGTAGGTTTGGAAGACTCCGAAGGACTAGTGGGATTGGTTTGCTACATCAGTATATGCCGTCATGAGGAGTGTGTGGGGGTTTGGGGAGAAACGTACGGCAATGATGCCCCAGGAGTTCATGACGGTGAGATGGGTTGCGAGGACCACCATCCAGGCTCGGAGACCGCCATCTGGCGGTGGGGGGGGCGGCTTCTCATTGCGGAAGATGAGCTCACGCTGCGAGATTGCAGAGGCAGCAACACTGGTCTGCGAGGGGTTTTCGTTGTATCTATCCATCTTTATCACTTTTTTCCACCAGGCTCTAAAAAAACGAGGGGATATAATATATATATGTGTATATATATGTATATCACGACAGCAGCTGCTTAACGATAGGTGAAGCTAGGGCTGAATATCAAAGGTGGGAAGGGAGAGCAAGAAAGAGGGAAGAGGAGAAGGATTTGAGGAAAGGACGCCCCAATATCAGCTACTTAAGACTTTCCACTTGGCGAGTCAGTCAGAAGTGAGAAGAGGCCTTGAGTCAGTATTGGATGATGTACTTTTTTTGTCTGCTCTGGGAAAGTACATGGCGAAGTGCAGTTTAAATGGCAACACAGCTACAGCGCAGATAGGGCCATAGAAAATAAAGAACATATCTCCAATTGCCTAGCGTCATAGCGGGCGCGCCGTGCATTTTTTTTTTCCCCCCCCTTCTTTCCTCGCTTTTCTTCCTAAACCCGACGTCGTTCGCACGATAGCACCCCGGCACCTACATGTCCGACTGGAAAAACATGTGCAGCAAACATTGACATGCACCCACGCATTACCTCTTCCGTGCTAGCCGCATGCCTACCCGTTGGCCAGAGATCGAGGAACCCAACCCATCCAGCCCCCCCTCCTCCCCCTCCTTCAGCTTCTAGCTAGCTCTCCCGGGCACATGGTCAAGGATGCACCACGCGCGGGGGTTTTGATTATAAACCATAGACAATTAGATCCAGCCAGACGGTTCTCACCATCTAATATAGCTACATATCGTTTTTTTTTTTTTTACCCTCACTCAGGATCTCAGTAACAGTCTCCGCGTGCACACACAGATATGGTGACTACAGTTATAATAATAAACTCCTTCTCGCTCCCCCTCCCCAATTGACTGTGTCGAGGCGTTCTCTTCTCCTCTTTCTCAACAAGTATCAATTATGTTCTGGGAGGCTCACGTTACACGGGACACCGAGTAAACTACAGCCAGTGCGGCAACGACCGCCCAATACAAGCAGGTTAATCGTGTTTATGTAGCAAGTATTTGTATTTCTCCCCAAAGGCCCAGATATGCGAGAAATGCACTTTTCAGGTACGCAGCACCGCTTTTAGAAGCTCGCTAGTTTAGGGTACATAGCAGCAGAGCACAGAGTCGAGTAGAGCCCAGAGCCCAGCTTAGCTGCATAAGTATATATATATATATTTCTGGCTCTTTTTTTTTTTATGCAGTAAGACGGTTGCTCTGCCATGCCATCCCACTAGCTGTCCCCCCATATGTAAAGAATAAAAATCCCGAGGCTCGGTTGAGTGAGCCCTTCGTCGCCGTCGTCGTCGGGGTTTACTATTTTCACAGACCCTCGCTCTAGGAGTTAGGAGGATTATGGAGTGTACCTGCGCCAGTTGACATTCCTGACATGACTAACAAACAACCCCCCACCCTGGGCCCGCCGCAAGCTGTGGCGTAGCAGCTACATAGCGGGGCTGGGATTGCACGGCATGTCAAACTCTATCTCCGAGACGATTGGGTCCTGTGCCAGTGCGCCGTACCTGCGCAGAACCGTCCAAGCGTCGTTGTTGTCGTCCTCGTCCCCGTCGTCGGCCCGGACCCATCGTGGAGATATGCGATATGGCCGGCCGTCGACTCGCGATCGTTTCAGAAACAGGACCCTTGCTGAGAAATATTATTCCCAGGACCGTGGAAACATATCGCGGGGTCGTAAACGTCGAAAAACTCCATTTTCGGCCGTACGCTGGTGCAGGGCCCTTGCCGTTAAGTAGGAGCATGGACAACGAGTCGCGTTGACAGTGGTTCCGCTTCCAAAATAGAATGTTCCGCATGATGTCATCGTATTTTGGGTTTCTATTATCAGCAGCCCCGGAAAGTGCAAGTGCGGTCTTGGCAAGCAAGCTACATACAAACACCACCGAGTGACATCCCATGAATCGCCATGTCGCAGCCTCCGTCTACATGGGCGCGCACACTATCACGACCAGCTATCTATCAACATGTATCTATATCACCACGCCCTACAGGACTCAACCCTAGTTGTTCCCCCCCCCCCCACACCCCATGAATTCCCCAAGCTGGCCTAGCGCCGGTTTGGATCCACCCGGGAGGGGGTGCACATAGCAGGGCTTAGACTCTGAAACCGCAATTAGCAGTCTAATCCCCCCCCTTCCCCTCCTCCCACCACCACCACTACCTACCTCCTCTCCGCGTCTCGTACGAGAGCACGGAGTTTGCGCTGCACAACCCCACGGGTGAGGGAAAGCCGACCATTGTGTTGTGTGTCGACATGTCTCCAACGCAAGGCAAGAAATTGAAAGATCATCGCGCAGTGCGGTTACTCACACACAATTATCAAGATTTCCAGGCAGATTGTTGTGCGGGACCCAGATCGGGGCTGCCTTGTCGTACTGACTGCGTTTCTTGGGATCGGGCTAGTGATCTCGTGGAGGAGTGGGGAAACGGGGGGGGGGTACGTAAAAATAGTGTTTTGATATGATCGGGGAACCCTAACCCTGGGATATGACCCTACCATGGTGGGGCGGTAGATCGAAGGTACTAGAAACTCGATGTGAGTTGGGACTCGGTTCTTGGATAGGTGAGCCATGGGAAGCATTTGGTGTGCAGCTGGGGTGGGTGCGTGGCGATGGGTCAGTGCCCGCCTGCTCAAAATCAAGCTCAGAAAGCATTATAGGGTCACGATATTATCCAGCCATGTACGCACGGTCTCATTCTCCACGTATTGTAGGTCAGCTATATATTGCGCCCAAGCTCTGGAAGCCAACCCAACCTACCTGGCTCGCTGGCTGGCCGCAGAGAGATCA